ACCTTTTTTTTGTGTGTGTGTGTGTGTGTGGGGGGGGGGGGGGGTCTTATAACTCACCTCTTGTTTTTCACTTAGAATAAAATTAAGAGTTGCCTTAAAAAATTTTCTGATGATAAGAAAGTTGTACCATTGTATAGGCCAGATAAAATGAAAATTGTTTGAAATCACAAGTGAAGGCCAGTACAATTATTGGGCTGTTTAGATCTCTCTCAAACAATTAAATTGAATTGAAGATTTATTTTTTGATAGGATAACTAATTGTTTCAGATACGATGGATGTATATTATCTTGTCATGGGCAAGCATAATGAAGGAGATTGAGGATAACAATCTTTTTTATGCAATATGGCAGAATCCCTGCATTTAATTGTAAAAAAGGAGTTTTCAGAAAATGAAGAGTGTGACTGGAAATCTCTACAACCCCCAGCCCCCCTTTCCCTTTTCATTTTCATTTTGAAATTCAGATTTGTTAAACTGCCTCTTTTAATTCTTGTCGGCTTTGCCGCTTTGTAAAACACTGCTACATCTGTATGCCTGCCAAGGAGGTATTTCAAGCAGGGGTGTGCCAATTTGAACAGATCTCTAATACACTCAAAAACTAACTTAGGGAATTTTTATATCCATTGATTAAGGTCGAGAGTTCATTCAGATAATATTCGGAAACAACTATTAAAAACTTGATATTCTGTATGAATTAAGGACTTCGAATTTATTTAATCTATTTCTCCTCGAAATCAATAGTGGATGTGTTTATCATGGCCGTAGGGCATGGGGGGAGGGGGGGCTTCAGTTTTGCAGTAGTTTAAAGTATAATGTAAAGATTTTGCTGCGCAGTGTTTTTAAGAAAATAAAACGAGGATTTCGACGACCTTTAGATTCTCGTTGGGGGAGAGGAGAAAAGATCTTGAAAATAAATAAGAAAGCTTTTGAGTTTTGACACATCCAACCAGGCACGTCCGTATTTTCAGGGAGCTAGATCGGGGGCGCCCCCTACTTTTTTCCAAACATAACATTTTACTATCGAAAATGTTCAAGGAAAGGCTGGTTCCCCTTTTTTCGTTTAGCTTATAGTTAAATCATGGTAAATTTGTATATTTTATTAATTAAATTTCGTTATGAAAGGAAGTCATACACAACCACCCATCCCCCCAAAGAAATGTTTTTCGAGTTTGGCCAATTTTCTTCTTTTTTAATTGCTTTCAAAATTTTTTTAGGAATAAGATGTATGGCTAGCCCTTCCACTTTTGAAAAACGATACTACATGCCTGCACACACCCTCGACATTTTTGCTTGTCAAACTTTTTTTTCAGTGAAGAGGAAATTAAATAATTTTGTTTATCATCCTAGAATTAAATACATGTATATTCTGACATGTGAAGGTATGAACATAATCTGACTTGACAAAATTTGCCAGCTCCACCCCACCCCCTAGATTTAAATGGCTGTCCCCATCATCTCAAGCCACGGTCCAGAGTTCGCTCATAGCTCTTTCCAGAAAGTACTTCAACACCCTTACCCCCCAAAACATAGTAAGTAAGTTTTTCACGTTTGGGAAAGGAGTTAAGTTCTCTCCTTGTCAACAGATTTCTCGATTAGATATTTTTGGACTTGATGACCCCCCCCCCTCCCCCGAAAAAAACTCCTGGATCCCAGCCTGTAATCGATAATGGTTTTAGTAATTCAAAAACCCAAGTGTATTGTCAATACTTTTCTGCTTTTTCGTACCATGTGAGGATCTGGTGGTTCGAAAGTGTTCCAGGAGTATTTCAGACATTATATTTTTAAAATAAATCAATAAAAATGACACTGACCCCTTTCCCAAGGAAACACCCATGACGTGTGTTTAGGAAAGATTCTAAATCAATTTCCTTTAAAGTATTAATTCTATACACTGCAAAAGCAACACAAACTATCTATATAAAATTAATGTGATTGAGTTATTATTATTTGTTTTATTCTCCAAGGGATATTAACATGAAACTTCATCTATCAGTGAAATGTAATCTTTGTTTCTGTACAATTGAAAAGCTATTTTAATGAATACATGTTAACCTTGGCAGATGTAATTACAGGTATTTTCTTTTTTCTACATAGACGCTCACCTGATACCTTTGTCTTCCACACGTTGCAATGGCCCGTCCATTTTGAACCTACGAGAGAAATAATATCGGAATAAATAAAGATATTACAATCATTCCAATAACAGCGTGTCCCTTTGCTTGATCAAGCGTGCTAAAGTTTCACAAATTGATTATCATATTGCTCATCGATTGGATGTTTGATTTGAATGAAATCAATACTACTATGCATATGAAACACAGAATCCAGGCCTATCATATTGAATGATTGTTTACCAGTACGAGATTTGTAGTCAGCAGCAACACGTGGTCAGTCAAAGCCCATTTCCTGCCCTCAAAAAAGCACGTGTCATATTTGTTGTTAAAACATTTTTGTGACGTCATCTTTTGTTAAACTTGGTTCAGTAGTTCAGTAAATTTCTTATTGTCCTGCACTCCGTCCAATAAGTTACCTGTAGGTGTCCAATAAGATTCAACTTATTGGACAGCTACAGGTTAATTCAAATGAGAACAAAGAACGAGACAAATAAATAAACAGCACTGAAGACACAATGATAAATTAAACAATTTTATATGAACAATGTAGGATATTAGTAGCGTAAATTTTAAATATTTCACTAAAAAATCCTATTGGAAATGGCACAAATAATCCACAGTGAACTGAATGTCTCACATGAAACATTGTAGAAGAATTTGTTGCCCCGATCATAAATTTCCCTTAATTCACCGTTCATTACTATTCATTTCACAATGATTGATACACGAAACATTCACAGAATCTTGGGAACACATAAGAAGAATCAGAAGCATGCGTTTTCTTACACACGAACTTGGGCTTTTTGCTTATTTGAACATCCATTTTTCTGCCTTTAACTATTCCGTTCATAAAATTTCAACTGATTCTATATTAATCTTTCGTTCGGTGATTTATGACCATTTTCCCATCTAGTCCCGTGTTATTTTAGCGAGTGTCTTAAAACACCTTTAATCTATCATTACCGAGTAGTTTTACATTTGCAAAATGATCCGTTACTTTGCACCGACGTTTTCTGTAAACCTCTACTTTTTGTGTGAAATACACACATTTTAAGCATCTGCGCATGCTCATACATGAACCCCCGTTTAGGGTTATGGTTTTTCTATTTCCGTTTACCCCCGTTTAGGGGTTTGACCAGACTGATAATGATCAGTATCATCATTATAAGGATGAAGACTTGCTTTGTCTGTCCACATGTAATTATTGTTTACTGCATTCTCGTGAACAATCATTGAATACGATTGGTCAGTATTGTAGGTAGTATTGCTGGGTTCTGTATTTCATAATGATATGCAAAGTAGTATGGCTTTCATTGAAATCAAACATCCAATCGATGAGTAATATGGTAATCAACATGTAAAACTTTAGCACCCTTGATCAGGCAAAGTGAAACGCTGTTAAAAAACTACTGGAATGATAGTAAATAGGCATTTCAATAGTCCCATTTTTACTTGTTAGATTAAAGGTGAACTCGTAAATAGCCATACGCCAAAATTATTATTTTTCACAGGGGAATTTAAGAGGGCTGGGTGGTTGTGGCCATTTTCAGACTATATTGATCTCCTTTAGAAGAAGAGCTCCATATAAAGATATACAAAAATGATCAAATTTTAAAACTAAAATGTGTGAAATTTTTGTTTGCCAAATGATAGTTGACAGCTTAAGGTGATTCGAACCTGACGAATTCAAATCTACCGCGCAACTCGAACTGCTGAAGATAGGATGATGTCGTAATACTAATAATTACGACTCATTTGTTATAGAACTAATTTATAGGGTAACAAACAACAATTTGATAGTCAAGTAAAGTAATTTTCATTAGATTATTCATATTATTTATTAAAATTGGCTTTTTGAAAGTTCTTCCGACATTGGGAATGTACGACATACCCACGCCGTTTTCCGTCGCCATGTTGATAAAAAGACGGTCACTTACATTTTCAGAGAAAAAACACTGTATATTCGGTTGTATTTATATGCAAGAAGTCTATGAATATATTCTGTTTGGTATCTTACAACAACTGTCCAGGCGATTTCATTTCTGGGTACAAGATCTCGATGTTCATGATTTTCACGGAAATACATAGTACAGCAGAATTTTTTAGTGGTAATGTTATATGATGTGTCCCTTTTTATAGTATACGAAATTTGTAGATATCATTATGAAAGGTTATCATGAATAATGCAGAAATATACTATGAACAATGTACACTGTGCATCTGTGTTATCTTTTCGACAATAAACAAAACAAAACCCACCTTGATTGAGCCAATGGCATCAGTGAGTTCTGACTGTGATACTAGTTGCCATATTTTGTACAGTGTACTTGAGTCTTTCAAACAATATCTTATTTATTTACACAACTGAGAATTTCTACACTGTATCAGAAAAAATGCATATTTGTCAATGACTTCAAAAAATGGGTCCCATGTTTTTAATATTTAGAGAAGATAATACAGATAGTAAAGTGAAGTAAGTGAACAGAATTAGTCTGAAAGGCCTATTGCTAATTGAGATCATGGTAATTTTCAGGGAAAATAATTGCATTCATGAACATTTCAGTGGTCAATATGACTAAAAAAATGAAGAATTGATGTCCTACCTACAAACTTGATGTAACAAGTCATGCAGTTTAAAATGCTGTTTGTAAAAATATGTGGAAGGACAGTTGACCAATTGTATTCTTATTTTTTAAAAAAAATATTGAGGACACTTGTTCATGAGCTTGTACACTACACACATTTATTAGTTTTGTTTGAAAGAAAAAAATAGGGAATTAAATAAATGTACATGTACTTGCATTGTGCAAAATATTTTTTTATTTGAATCAGAGAATTGTGTTACAGTTTGATAAATATTAATTAGCACTTTTTATTTTTACATTAATTTCAGATAAAGGAAGAAAGATGTTTTAGAGAAAGATGATCGCCAAAACAGTATAGAGCCTTTAGAGGTGATAGAGATAATTGGGGATTGATGTGCATTCCAGCTAGAAAACTGCTTGCACATTAAAAAAATGTTTTACCATTCAACATTTTTATTACTTGTGGCTTTAGATGTTTACAACAAGTAAATGAATACCAGGTAATGATATCTCTATTAACGATGTAACTGTTTTGATGATGTGAAAGATGAAGTAGAATTTAAAAGTTGTTTTGCTATAGAATATAATACAGACTTTTAATTGTACTGCTGTTTTGTAAATGTTAAAATTCAAGAGAGTTGAAATTGACATAAATGTATAATGTTAAACACTGTTAAAGGAATGTCTTTAAAATTCACATGTAAATTGAATACATATATGTGATTTATTATCTCAGCAGGTTTTTTGAAAGCTGCCAAAGGAACAGTCAGAATGGATTTCTTATCAATGAGCAGTCAAAATGTACAACTTTAGTAAACTCTCTGCAGTATGTTCCTTTTGATCCAGTTGCACTGATAAATAACCTTGATGTTGAAACCATCAGACTGGGTATGAATAAATAATAAATAAATATCAACATTTCTGACAACAAAATAAAAATCATAACTTAACCTTTTGACCTCCTCATCTGTGTTATGGTGTATTGAATGCTGAAGCTTCACACACATTTTATAAACAAAATTCATGTGTTTTGTAAAAATTCCTTCCTTCCATAGGCTTAAAACTATTTTTATTATGATTTTTAACACTATTTTTATTACAATTATATTATGAAAATATTATGAAAATAAAAATGATAACTCAGTACTGAGTAACTTTATAATAGATGATACATGATTACATACATTACTATAATCCTTGTCCACCTGTCAGTAAGGCTGAAGAATTTTTTTTTTTTTCAGGCTAAGGATCACATCTTTTTTTGTTTCCACCCACTTGCTACCCATGACTGAAATGTTTGTTCTAGCTGCTACAAAAGACCTACATGTTCCTCAGAATCATACTTAGCTATACATCTCTTTTTTAAAATGGAGTTAAAAAAATAAATATCCAATTACCTTTAGTGCGATTTTATAACCGTTTTTGTTGTCAAGGTTAAGTAAAAATGGGCAATTTTTAAGAAGACAGAGGAAATTCAGACTGCCGTAGAGTGCTGTTTGAATGTAATTTCTATGTATAAAGAATGACAAAATGAAGTTAATCTGCTACCCTATTATATATTTCCAAGTAAATGAATTCTGATAATAATTTGTGAGTTTTTTGTTATTTTCTTTAATGGCAATGGGATTTTTTTCACAGCTTTTACATTTTTATACAAGGGCATATTCAGAGGTTGTTGCCAAGGAAACGAACGCATTAGCATATGTCAAATTTGATGATTCCTAAACCACAAACTTGTCGTCTATCTGAGGGAACCTATCTTTAACAGGGCTCGACATTAACTTTTTCCCCTACTTGTCCATTCGGACAAGTGACCAAGACATTTACTTGTCCGAACTTCAACTTCACTTGTCCGAAAATATTTCAAGAAAGATCTAATCCTTTCAACTGAAAAACTAAAATAAAGTCCATGACATATGCGTGATGTAATTTATAAATACAACAAACACACAAATCAAAATTTTATATAGACTCTCTGTCCTATCAACATAAAACAGAATCCGAACTTCGTAAGTTCCATGCCTTTGCAGTAGTATGCAATTAGTGAACATCGATCCCGATCGAGTATCAACTCTATTACATAGCAATCCATATCGGGATCGAAGTTTGGTTTTTATGTACTGTTTCCGTCTTTAAAGCAGCGGTAAAGGTATCACACCGGTAATTGTTTTCACTATGTAATTCTATATAGAATAAAAAATCATTAAAAATCAGGTATTCGAATTCATGAAAAAATATTTAGCAGGAAGTGTTAAACGTTACCAGTCACATCAGCCGACACCAAAAAATAGGGTACCTACACGGCATTTTCTGATTTTTTCCATCCGCAAACAGGAATACCCTCAAATCCACGTGTATTCAATGTGTTTATAAACATCCTGTGTGCACCCCAGGAAGTGGCCTCCTATGCCCCGAAAGAAATAGTTCCTGTCAAAAACCTTTAATATTTTACAAAGTACATAAAATATCCTAAGCACAGATACCAAAAATGTAAAAATAGAATAAGGGAAATTAAAAAAATTTCTCACAATAAAAAAATATTTCTTTATTATGTATGGAACTACAATTGACTAAGTTCATTTTGATTGGTCAATTACCGGTGTGATACCTTGAAGGACCTTTGAAGTTGTCAGATTTTTTTTCATTTTTGCACCTGAGATTTCTTAAATAACTGTCACTAACATCCTGAAGTCTGGGGATCTAATTCCCATTATTGCTGGAGATATGATGCATTTATCTCCCTTACTCCAGAGCAGTCAAGAATACACACTGAGCACTCTGACAGAAGTTTTTGTGTGCATATTTTGAAGCAGAATTTCATCCTTAATAGACTAAGCCTGGCAACCAATTTTGTATCCGTGGAGAGTATATGCATTGTTCTTCACAACAAACAAAAAATAATTCACAAGTCTGAGACCATTATGCAATTATTACATAACAAAATTGCATTTTACCCTCCTAAGAATGACAAAATTTACAGAAATTGTTAAATATTAGGCTGATAATAAAATCTGCATCTGGTCAATTTATGTTCCAAATAAAGCCTAGGTACTTGTCTACAACCTGCTATGCAGAAGTTTATCTAAAAGCTGTGTTGTAACACAGGGCAGTCCAAATGATATCAGCATCTGGGGAGGTTCTAGACAGCTCTGACACTCCATTAAACTTGCTTTGATGATAAGAAAATGGAGAAAACAATTCAGATGTAATTTATTGTTGTGATTTATGTAACTGGCTTTCTCTGCAGACACAAATTAGCCATGAAATTCCAATTGAACATACATAATTATCCTCTTTTCATTGAATTACTCAGGAATTTCAAAGGTGTTTGATGAATTTGCATGATTAATTCAAGATTACAGCTTTTTGTTTCACCAAATTTACATAAAAATTCAACATTTAAATTTAAAAATATAAATCTTAAACATTTTTATGGGTCTTAACACTTTTAAATGTGAATAAATGCAACAAAGAAACTAATATCAGGCCATCCTCCATGATTCTTGGAGGTGGGTGGGTGTACAAAAAATGCTGATAAAATTTATAGGAAGTGACAAAAGAAGAACATGGCACTTTATTAGCTGAATTATGGTTATTCTGATATTTTGATTGTGTAAATATGTCAAATTTCTTCATCACTTTAATTTGTAATTTATTAATATTTCAGTACATTAATGTGCTTAACAAATCATGTTAAAATAAACATCCTGACTGAGACTTAATTTAAAAGAGAGGGTCAACACCTACATAAAAGTGGTAAAATGACAAAAAACATTCTCCGGCAAACTGAAAAATCTTGAATGTCAGCTGCGAAAGCATGGAAAAAGTCTAGAGAACCATAACAGGCATACCATGGTGCTAAGTGACATTCTGTACTATATGTGTGATGCATGGTTGGGATTCAGAATAAGTATTCACTCTCATGCCCTGACAGTATTTAGGCATTTTTGGTCATAAGCTTCTTATTTTTGAAAAATTCTTAATAAATTTTATTTGTGCATTACTTTTATTAGACAAATTTAACTCATTTCATTATTTCTATTCCTCCACTCCAGTAATAAATGAATCACTTAAGGTGAATAAAATGAAAGTAAACCCAGTCTCTGTAAAATTTAACACTTTTTAAAAACATGTTTTACTTCTTCACATTTTATCGCAGTTGTCGCTTTTGTTGAAAACTCATTCGCAAACCCAGAATTAGTCTTTTCTTGAAAAAATCAGCCTAAAGTGCTTTTACGGCACAGTCTGTAGACTCTATAATTGACTGCGGTCAGGTGGTGCACAGAGTTTAAAGTCATATAAAATAAAAAACCAACATTTTCTAACTTCTTTCTACATGTCAGATGCACAATTCTCCTTTGAAAGTCATAATTTGGAGTTTTGAGGGTAAAACATGACATATTATTAGTATTTTACATAGAAATCTGTATAAATTAATGTCAACCCTGCTTCTAAATTTAAAAATATGTGCTTTCACACAGAAAGTTCATAAAATGACATATTTTGTTGAAATATGCCTTTATAAAATTAAAACTGCCTATAATATGGGTGTAGATGATTTTACACAATCACCTTCAAGGTATCACACCGGTAATTGTTTTCACTATGTAATTCTATATAGAATAAAAAATCATTAAAAATCAGGTATTCGAATTCATGAAAAAATATTTAGCAGGAAGTGTTAAACGTTACCAGTCACATCAGCCGACACCAAAAAATAGGGTACCTACACGGCATTTTCTGATTTTTTCCATCCGCAAACAGGAATACCCTCAAATCCACGTGTATTCAATGTGTTTATAAACATCCTGTGTGCACCCCAGGAAGTGGCCTCCTATGCCCCGAAAGAAATAGTTCCTGTCAAAAACCTTTAATATTTTACAAAGTACATAAAATATCCTAAGCACAGATACCAAAAATGTAAAAATAGAATAAGGGAAATTAAAAAAATTTCTCACAATAAAAAAATATTTCTTTATTATGTATGGAACTACAATTGACTAAGTTCATTTTGATTGGTCAATTACCGGTGTGATACCTTGAAACTAAATACTCAACAGTTGTTCTTTTTATTATTTGGAGACTTCTTCACATTAAAATGCACTTGTCCTATCGGACAAGTGTCCAGCAATATTCACTTGTCCGTAATTTTTTTTCACTGGTACCGGACAAGCGGACAAGCGTTAATGTCGAGCCCTGTCTTTTAATTTTCTAATTACTTTCACGACAGGTTCAAATCACCTTAAGATATCATATCTAAAAAATTCAGTTATATCTGATGGTTAATTTGTTGACTCCCCAGCCTCCTTAAACCCTTTGTATTCGTTACGCCTGACTAGCTTTACCTGGGCTCGTAACATAAAGCTTGCAAAGTTTTTGACTTAAAGCTGAACACGACTCGTAAATAGGCATACGTCATTTTTTGATAATACTATCTACCTTATCAGCACTGGGGTATACTCTTAGCATTCGTTACACCTGACTGCTTTATTGACATGGGTAGCGACGTGGAATGGCGATCCGTGGTCGTGTTGGTTATCTTGCATTACCTTTGTTCACATTTTATTGCAGTAACGTGTATTTGTGTTTGTTTGTATACTGCGCTGACCTGTGCAGCTGATGTAAGTTTCTTTGGTATCTTACTCTCCCGATATAAAAGTTCTCAGTTATTTTTTTGTCGCTAACGAATGCTCTATATAAGCATACGTCCATCTACACCGGTGATGATTGATTACACTGAACAGTGACTAAGTGAGCGACTTTATATAGGGTCCCTCAGATATAGCGAGAGACGTATCGAATATGGCGGACACATTCCTTTTACGAATCGTGTTCAGCTTTAAAGCTGAACACGATTCGTAATTTAAGGAATGTGTCCGCCATATACCAAAGATACCAAAGAAACTTAAACAGTTGCACAGGTCAGTGCAGTATACAAACAAACACAAATACAAGTTACTGCAATAAAATGTAAGCAAAGATAACGTTAGATAACCAGCAGTGAGGTGTAATGAATGCGAAGGGTATATCCCGGTGCTGATGTCGTAGCTAGTAGTATGGAAAATGGCGTGCGCCTATTTACGAGTCGTGTTCAGCTTTAAAGCTGGCATGTACTCTTAAGGACATACGCAATGTAGTTTGAACTTTATTGTCTTTTTCCCTGGAGTTGAAGAGTTCCAATACTTAAAGGAACTGTGTGCTACATTTTTATGTCTATATATGCTGTTGTACACTTCTTTTAAAACAAGTTTGGATAAACAAAACATCTAGAATATATGTTTAGTAATTTTTGTGTATTTTTCTTTCAATTTTACAAGAATTTTCATCAATTGA